TCCAGCCTCAATACTTGGTACTTCATGTCCTGTCTCCTTGGAACACCCTCTTCACCAACTGGCATATCGTCTCAGAGAACTTGCTCTTCCTCAGGACTCAGCTCAAATGTCACCGCCTCTGCAAAGCCTTCCCTGACCTCTCTGGGCGAGCGCGAACACTTCCTCTTGTGCTATCCCCGTCCACCCATAAAACCAAGCACTCGGCGTGTTCATTGCATCCTAGGCCCGACTGTCTCCCTAGCCAGCTGGGAGTCCCATGGAGGGCACAATCCCAGTGTCTAACTCTGTGTCTGGCACAGAGTTAATCAAGGTAATGAATAAATGTTGAATGAGAAGAGACTGGACTGGGAGGAAGGGAAGGAGAGTGGAGGCTACAGAGCTTTCCATATTAAAAAGAGAAACCTGGAGAGAACTGAGCCGGGATGCTTGATTACAAGCCCATGGCTCTCAAATCCACCAGTGTAGGGCTTCACCAGTGAGAGCTCTTTGTAAATGTACAGGATTGGGGCTGGGCACTGAGGGGGCCAGGATCTCTGCACAAAGTTGACTGGAGCAGACTGCTGCCTTTCCCAGTGGGCTGCTCCTCCAGACCACCAAGGGTCAGCTGCCCAAACCACGGGGACCCCTCAATGCTCGCATTTTGGGTCAAGGGTGGAGGGGAGGAGGAAATCATGTGAGGTGGCTGGGAATGAGGTTTTTAGCAGCTGCAAAAGAGTGTCAGGGTTCATGGTCTGTGGCTCAGTTATTGAATTTATAGACTAATCTCACATCAAAATCTGATCTGTGAAGATCTGGTATATCTGTAGGTTAGAATAGTATTCAGCCATAAAAAAGGAATGAAGTACTGATTCATGATACATCATGGATGAACTTTGAAAACGTCATGTTCATGAAGGAAACCAGACACAAAAAGACCACATCTTGTATGATTCCATTGACATAAAAATGTCTAGAATAAGCAAATCCATAGAGATAGAAAGTGAGTTAGTGGTTGCCCGGATAAGTGTGTGGGGAGTGACTGCTAACAGATACAGAGTTTCTTGGGGGTGATGAGTGTGTTCTGAAATTGGATAGTGGTGATGTTTGCACGACTAGGTGAATATACTAAGTACTGCTGAATTGTACACATTGAAACAGTGAATTTAACAGTATGTGAATTACATCTCAATTTTTAAAAATCTGTAAAGACCAGTTTGGTGAGATTATTGTAGAAATAGCTGCCACTGGAAGTTATACCTCCAAAGATACCATAGAAAACTGAGGCAGCAGTGCCCTGCTGTACATCTGAAGGGCCTAAAATCCAGTCTCTAATCAGAAATCAGAGATGCAGAACTGAGACAAGAGCTCAGAGGAAGGGTGATGTAATGATGTCCTCGTGAGGCTGAATCAAAGAGCAGGCTATATCCCCTTACATTTCGGTGAAGTGTAGGCACAGCCTCAGAGGCTTCCCCCTGAAAGTGACAAGTGACAGGTTGTGTTCTAAAAGATGAGCTGAAGTGCTATTAACGTAGCTGTGAAACCTTGCCCAGAGTTTGCTACTTGAGAGTCCATAGACAGAGCTCTGGGAAGAAAAGTGTCAAAGACTCCTACTCTAAGCAGGAAAAGACAAAATTCAGTATGGGCATGGTCAGAGGTTGTCTCTTTATACTTGAGGTTCTTTACATTTTTTAAAATTTATTTTAATTGAAGCATAATTACTTTACAATATTGTGTTGGTTTCTGCCATATATCAACATATATCAGCCATAGGTATACATATACCCTTCCTTCCTGAATCTTCCTCCCACCTCCCTCTCCATCCCACCCTTCTAGGTTGTTACAGAGCCCCGGCTTGAGTTCCCTGAGTCCTACAGCAAATTCTCACTGGCTATTTATTGAAATATGCCTATAGAAAAACAAATATGGCAGTTAGCATACATGAAGTTCTTTGGCTTTTCTTGGGAATTAAACATGACATCTCTCAGTTTATATGCCTGGACAAGACATTTAGTGTAAATGGAAAAAAATTACTTTCTTTGTCAATGATTCATTCAAATATATAGAATATACCTATTGGATACAATGTTGTAAATAAACTCTGCTTCAATTAAAAAAGCCCATAAGGCTTAGAAAGCATACACAGGGACTTCGTAGGTGGTCCGTTGGTTAAGATTCCATGCTTCCAATGCAGGGGTCCTGGGTCTGATCCATGGTCAGGGAACTAGAACCTGGAACCTGCAGCACAGTCAAATTTGAAAAAGAAAAACACACCCCACAGGATAGATATGATATAATATGTGGGCTCGTTCCCATGCAACTTTCTCTCTGGAGAGTGAAAAACCAGGACATCAGCCCTGGTTCCGAGCCATGCGGGGCATTGCCTCAAAGACGGACCCTGCTACACGCATCCTAGAGCCAGGCAAGACAGCTCTCCCTGGGTCCCCAAGGACACTCACTTGAGACAGCCCTTAGGGCATCCCCATCCCATCCTCCCACTTGAACCCAAGACCCAGGACCTTTCTAGGTGGGGCCAGAGCAGAACCAGCGCTGACCCACTGGTTACGGCAAAACCGGAAATGGAAGTTGAGTGTCTATGAAAAAATGCCTTCACTTTCTACCTGACTCATCAACACAGATGGCCCCACTCTGTTGCTCTGTGAGGTAAACAGGGTAGGATCATATTCTAGAAACATTAACCTCCCCGCAACGGCAGACCTGCAGTGCCTGTTATCACAGGGGAGGGGGTGACACAGCAAAGCCCAGCCCGACTCAATGGGGCAGATGGCAAGAACTCAAGACTCTTATGGTGCATTTGGAAGAATATATGACTAGAGCAAAAGGCCCCTTCTCTCCTCAACTGCGTAAAGATTCCTCAGGCTGGTGGGATTTGAGGGAGCAAAGAGACTATAGACTGACATTCGGCGGGAGGGCGGAGAAAAGGGCCCTGAGAAGGGAGAAGTGTCTGAAGTGAAAGGGGAGTATGACAAACACCCCAGAGGGCTTCAGAGATGCTCAGGGTAGGAAAGCCCTGGGCCCCGTGTTTCCTGGGTAGAGGCTGGGAAAACAGGAAAAGTTAGGGCAGACCAGACCCCTTGCTGTCTGTCTCAGCAGGTGGGCTTAGGATGGCCCCACAGAGCTTCCTGAAGTCTAGAGGGGTGTGGGACCAGGAGCTAGAATGTCCTCACACCCCAGCAGGCAGACCCAAAGAAGCTTCATGGTGGGAGGGAGGGGGCACCTTGCAGGGGCCACACCCACTGATGACCAACCAAGGGACTTGGAAAGGCAGATGTTTCAGCAGGTGCTGGCATGGGTGGATGATTGATGGCTGAGGAAGAAAGTCTTACACCCCAAGCCTCCCCCATTGCTGAACTTAACCCTGAGAAAATGTGGGAAGAGAACCCTCTCAATTGAACCCCCTTCAAATTGACTAAGATTAATTTCTACCACTTGGTGAAATGGAGTTCTTAAAATAAGTTAACATTCAGTGTTAGAAAAATTATATGTTTCTTACAGGTTAGAGTTTGGATTCTGAATTGTACCCAGTACGTAAGTAACATTTTCTTTATCATTTTGTTATAAACAAATGATGAAAAAGACTTTTTGGTGGAATAACACTTCATAAGAAACAGAAACACCACTTGCAGTGTTTGTCAATTACAGATTTTCCTTTGTGTCTTTGAATTCAGAAAGGACGGCGGGGGAGTCTTTCCACGAGTTCAGATCAGATGACCATAGCATTTTCTGAGTGAAAAGGATAAAATCTGAGTTCATGGGCTGTTCGTTTCCTTTTTGTTGTCTCGATGGTTCATCCTCGGTGATCCAAATGCAGGCCCTCCCTGGGGACTGGGCACACTGCTCGATGGTGAGAGCCAAGGTTGAGAATGGAGAAGGAATCCCACTACAACCGGCAGCTCTACAAAGCTGCTGCTCTGTGGGGCCCTGCAGTCAGCCCTGAAATGCAGTTCTGGAGGAGCAGGAGGGCAGTAATAAAGTCGGGAGGAACCGCCAGGGCAGCGTGCATGGGGGAAGCACAACTAGGATTCCAGGAGCTGGGGGCTTGATGCCAGGTAATCCAGAAGCAGAGGAATCCAGAGCCCCTGTGTGAGTTCCAGAGCCCCTGACTGAGGGCTCCTCACCCCAGTGGGGCCAGGTGGGGGAGAGCAGTGTGGGTGGCATGGAGCAGTCAGCTCCGGGCTAATCCTAGTGCCTCTAATTCCAAGAGCTCCGGGCTTGACTCAGCTGTTCTCTTTAATTTCATCATTCACGGTGGACCGGGCATTCCTGAGGGCTTCTGGGAGCACAGGCAGGGCAGGGGGCAATTGGGGAGGGCTAGGGAAGCCTGTGAGGGAAAGAGGAAGACTAAATAAGGAGGGGAGATTGCCTTTCCAATAGGAGAACCTCACGCTTGCCATCCTTTGCCAAGCAGGTGGAACCTGTGCCCCCACGCTCTGCAACCCCCTGGCAGATGTGCTGCCAGGAAAGAGTGTGAGATCATGTCCAGTGGACTGGATGATTACTTGGAGAGACAAGCTCTCTCCTTTCAGCCTTAGTTGAAACCTGGGTGTGGAAATTCCATTCAGCCCAGGTTTAGTAACTGGCTTCCTCCCAGTGGAAGCCCAAGCAGGCGGAAATTGAACTGTGAGAGGGTGGGTGAATTTTCCTGGGGGCCCCTGAAATCACATCGCTGCCCTTGCCTTTACTCCGGCCCCTGTCCACCCCTCTCATGAGGGCCTCCTTCATCTCAGCTGAGAACGGGATGAAACAGTGGCCCGCAATGAGTGCTGACACTTGCTGTTTTCATGAGGCTGCTCAGCTCCGAGCTGGGCCCCTCCCCTACTCAGTGGGCCCCAATCTGAGATGCGGGTTCCCCAGGGAGTCTGAGGTCAGTGGTACAGAGCAGAGCCTACCTGAACAAGAGCGGAACCCACAAAAGGGGGTGGGGGAGGTGAAGGCTGAGTCCCTGGCTCCCTTCACTGCTTCCAGGTGTGGAAGGTGGCCCAAGAGTGAGGACTGCGATGTTCTCAGGCCCCGAGGGCGTCGATGCCAGCGGGGCTGAGCACTAGAGCTTGAAGGATGTCGGAGAGGGACACCACGCCCAGCAGGTGCTGAGTTTCATCCACAAGCACCAGCCGGTGCACCTGTGGGTCCACAGAGGCTCCGTGAGGGGGCAGCATCATGTGGCTACAGCAGCCGAAGAGGTTGACACCGAGAATCAGGGCCAACAATTTAACATAACTGGAAGAGCAAGAGAGTGTCTCCCAGTAAACTAGTGTCTCCCAATTAGCAGGAGCTCTGCCTGCTGGGGCCAGCGGCTGGGGCCCTTGGCCGGAGGGCTCCAGTGACAGCACCTGTTGCAGGCCAATGTGGACACCGAGAGCTTGGCCATGTGATGGGAGGATGGGGCATGTGCCTGATGGATAGCACGAGCTGGAGCTGCTCATGAGAAGGCTGGCCCCACGTGTTGGGAGCATGTCTAAAGGGGCGTGGGGTACCTGCTCCCGGGCAATCCGGTCGATGACTTCCCCCAAGGTCTCGTGGGGCTGGCAGGAAAGGACTCCCTCCAGACACAGTGTCCTCCGCCTCAGGGCTTCTCCCACACTTATGTCCAGGTGGTTGTATGTTTGTTGGGCTGCCAGGTGCTGGGCAGGGAGGGAACAGCATTCTTCATCAGTCCTCAGCCAGGTTCCAGCCCCCCAAGGCTCAAGGACCCCCTAGTTGTCAGATACTCCCTCCCCTACCAATCCTCACACCACAGCCTCCCGGTGGCGCCCCCAGCTCCCCACCATCCCCCCAGGCACTTACAATCACATCAAAGCGGGAGTAGAGGCCCACGACCTGTCCTACAGGAGTTGGAGAGGCAGGGGGGAAGGTGAGAGAAAGACAGGGAAAAGGTTCAGGTCAGAACCAGGATGCTGTGCAAGGGTCAAGAGTGGGCTTTCAGAATGAACTCCTCAACATCCTCCCTACCCCTCCAGGTTACTGGCTTTATAACAAGGCATCAGGCTGCCACCACCCTGAACCCAGGGATCAAACAGTGTCTCCGAGACGGACACCTGACACCATGCCTCCCGATGTGACAAGATATGAGTACATGGTATCACTTCTGAGATAGTCTAGCCTCAAATATATAGCCTGAATCTGCGTGAGCCTTTAGATCTAATTTTCAGTTTATAGGAAACACAGGAACAGAGGACCAACATAAAGGCCACCTGCAGAAAGTGAACAGGCAGATCTCTGGAAACGGGACATGCTACAGAACCCAGGCTTCCCATCATCAACACCATGAAAATTAAGTGGGGAAGGAACTGTTCTAGAATAAAAGACACTTAAGGGATAAAAGAAGCAACTTCAAAGCATAGACCTTAATTGGATCCTGATTTGAACAAATCAACTCTAAAAAAATAATTCTTGGGAAAAATGGGGAAATGAGAGTTAGGATAGGATTTTAGATAACATTAACACATTATTCATAATTTTGTCAGGTGAGTTAGGAAATATACTTATTTAAGAGATGCAGATGAAGTGTTGAGGTGAAATGACATGATTCTATACTTTACTTTAAATTACTTCAGCATAAAAAAAGAGGTAGAAGTGGTTATGGCAATGTATTAACAACAGTTAATCCAGGGGGATATATGAGGTTCATTACACAGTGTTCTCTACCATTTTTATACATTTGAAATTTTTCGTAGTCAAAAATAAAGTAAAACATTTCTTGATAGCCAACTTCATTATGCTAATTTTTAAATTTGAAGCAGTTTACAGCTGATTCTCAGAGCCAGAACCTGACGTCTGGCTTAGAGAGGGTAAATAATTGATCCAAGGCTCAAAACAGGCAGAGACTTCCAGCCCTGACTCCATCCTGGGTCTCAAGCTAAGGTCACATAGACTCTGGCTCCCCACAGCTCCACCCCAGCCAGAATCCTCATCCTGGGTGTAAGTACCAGCTTCATTGATCACCGGCAGCGCAGACACACGCCGGTCCACAAAGATGTCCAGTGCAGTGAGGATGGGTGCTGTTTCCAGCACCACAGCCAAGTCTCGGAATGTGCCAATGCCCAGATCTTGGATGGTGCGGGAGAGGTAGGAGGGCCGGGGCAGCAGGGTGCCCTGCTTGGGTTGGAGACAGGTAGGGTTCAGGGTGGAGTAGCCAGATGCTCCCTCCCAACCCCTAGGGCAGAAGCCTTCTCTGCCCTTCTGGTCATCCCCTGAGGCTGTGCCCAGGCTCACAAAAATGTGCAGGAACTTGAGAAGCCGTTTGTGTGTGAGGATGTGCAGCACGGCGCCTGAGACTGGGTCCAGGACTGGCAGGCGGTGGATACGGTTCTTGATGAGGGTGTAGACGGCTTCAAACAGGCTGCAGAAGTGGGAGCAATGAGGCTGGGGCTGCCTGGGGAGAGGTGCCTTTACCCCAGTCCAGGGGAAGGAGGACAGGGTGCCGAGGCTGCCTTATTTGCAGTCCTCCAAGAATGAGCCCATGACTTCAGAACTGAGGAGCTGGTGAAGGGGGGTCTGGGCAGGGCAAGGAGGCTCAAGTGATTGTCTGGGGATGCTTACCTGTCACTGGGAGAGATGGAGACCAGAGGCTTGAAGCAGCCTTGAAGGTAGATCTCTGCAGAAAAGGAGAGTCAGAGCAAGGGAGCTGGCCACCCTGTCTCACCCAGCAGTCCCCAGATTAGCTCTCCTCCTTTGGGCCCTCTGAGCTCTCTATTACCCTTCCCCTGCCCCCTCCAGGAAATCCCCCCTGCCCATCCTCTATCCTGGGTCCTTGTCCCCACACACCTCAGCCCCTTTGCAGGACTATTTACCCACTCACCCCTCCAGGTCTCAATCTTGTGTTCTTCAATCTCATAGATCTGGACCTAGAATATCAACAGAGCTCCCCGATTCAGACGTGGGCTCCCTGAAATCCCTCAGCCCCAGCCCAGATGGGTGCCCCTAGGACCCTGAGCCCACTCCTCACCAGGGGGGACCGGTAATAGCGATGCAGAACCAAGATGAAGTCTGTGATAGTCAGCATCCCTGCCGGGGTGGGGAGGGGAGAGAGAGGAGTGGGATTCACCCTGGGCCCTGCGGCAGGAGGCAGGTGGAGGGCTCAGACCCTTCTCCATCAGCTGGTCACAGCTGTCCCACAGATGGTGTTCTCCCAGCCAGCCTGTTCCCCCCAAGCCAGGGCCCTGCCCCAGAGCTCAGCCCCAGAATCACCCCACAAGGTCCCCCCTTTCCCCTCCCTGGCCCCTCCTCACCCACAAAGCTCTGCTTCTTGCTGTCCCAAAGAGGTGCAGCCCGAACGCCGTTGGCCACCAGGGCAAAGAAGGCCTTCTTGATCTGAGCCACAGGAAGAACAGTTGAGGGTGAGTTGCTCACTGCCCCTGAGTCCCCTGTCCTGACCAGGGGCTTTCCAAGGGGCCTTCTAACAGGCCCTCCCCTCCAGGAGCCTGCCTGCCACTTGACATGACCCTTGTGGGCACATTTGCTACAGAGATGAGGCTGCAGGTGGCCGGGGGCATTAGGTGTCCCCTTAACAGGCACACCAGGGTGTAGGAGACAAGCCCAGTATTTCTACACCAAAGTCCTAAGTGTACAGATGCACACAGGATAATTTTTGCCAATCTAAATACTAGAGGTGTAATTATCTGATATTTACAAAATATTTTTCTCTAAATATATTTTACATTGACTCATTTTGGCCTCATCTGTGGCAATACTATCCATACATGCTGGTTGTAGCTTTCTAACACATATCAAAATAAATACAAAGCTACTAAATTAAATATATTTGTTCATATACTGCTAGAATCAAAGTGAACTGTGGGTCATAGATATACCTTGTTTTTACACTACACTCTGCTCTTTGATACACAGAGAGAAGAAAATGCTTTCTATACAATTTGGGGTGTGAAAAAATGCTCCCAGTCATCCTGGATTGGCTCAGAAGTCCTCTGAAACTTGTAGGGTAAAGCAGGCATTCCTGTCCCCATTTTAGAGATGAGCGAAGTAAAAAGACCTACCCCAAACCCCATAGATACTGAGTTGTAGAGCTGGGATGACAATTAGAGGGTCCACACAGAGAGCAAAAGGTCCCCTCCCCTAGTCTCCATGGTGCCAAGAAGGAATTCTGGAAGGGACTTGTAGCCAGGCAGGGCTGGCAGGGGATCCTGGGGGCTGTGAGTATGCAGGTGGGGCAGAGTGGCAGCCTCACCTGTAGCATGGTGTCGAAGATGACTAGCTTGGAGCTGGTTGCCATGGCATCGTAGCAGGTGTGCTCCTGCATGAAGTGCATGTAGATCTGGGCCCCCGGCTTCCGCAGCTCGTCGTCCCAGCCCAGCCTGAGTACTGGCACCTGCGGGGACGGGCACTGGGCCGGCCTCTCTTCCACCAGGCCGAGCTCATCCCCCCATGCTTCTGGGGCTGAGAACTCTATGCCCAGATCCAGATCATCTGTGCTGGAGCCAGAAGCAGAGGCTGAACAGTCAGAGGGGAGGCTGTCTCGCTCTGTTGTGGGGGTGCCCACCCCGGACGAGGGAGTGGCTTGGGCCAAGGGTGTGGCCTTGGGGAATGTGGCCTCCAGCCTGGTGGACTCAGCAGCTGGCCTGGACTGGGGACCTGTTCAGGAGGAGAGGACAGTAACTCCACCTTCCAAAGCATGTTCCCATCTGTTGTCTCCCTTCATCCTCAGAGCAGCGTGGGAAGCCTGGATGCTGAGGTCCCCACTTTGCGAATGAGAGCCAAGAGAGTCACAGCAGAGGGTGGCTCTGTCCTGAGCTGGTCATGCTGGGCCCCTGGATCAGCACTGCAGCTTCCCTCTCTCATGTGGGGAAACTGAGGCCACAGGATGTCATATGTCTGTGTTATGGAGGGATCCAGGGCAAGGCCAGCTCCAGTCTCGGGGACTTCCCACTGCCCCCAATCCCATCTCCCCAGAACTGGCCGTGGCCTCACCTCCCTTCAGGCCTGGGAGCTCCCCTTCCTCTACAGCCTCCTGGCTTGTCCATCTTGAGACCTTGGTCCCCTGTTCCCCAAGGCTTATTTCTGCGCTGGTGGTCATGGCTGGTGATGGCCATGAAGTGCTGTCTCCTTGCTCTAGGAAGCTCATCTCTGGAAGGGGGAATGGGGCCTGTTTGGTTAATGGGGGGTAACACAATAAAACAATTGAAATGTTGTTAACAATAATATTCACTATTTGCAAACGTCCAAAGGTCTTTTCCTCCAATGTATTTGTCATTCAAACCTCATAGCAATCTTATAAGGGAGGCATTAGTATCATCCCTATTTTACTAATAAGGGACCTGAGATCAGAGATGTTAAGCAATTTGCCACAGATCACACAGCTAACATGTGATAAAGTCAGGAGGATCCAAATCTTCAGACTCTAGATCCAACCCCCTCCTTTCTTCTTCTGAAAGAGGAAGGAGGAGGGCCGGAAAAGGAGGAAGAAGAAGCAAGTAGGAACAAAGAAGGAAAAGGAGAAGAAGACAGGCTAGTGGGATGGGGGTGATGGGGAGCCTAGAGACGTTGAGAGGAAAGGAAATGGAAGAGGCTGGAGCCGTGAGGAGGGGCAGCCCCACCTACCTTGATGCTCGGGTCCCCCAAAGCTGCTCCAGGAGGGGGTCTGTGTGGAGAAGAGTGACTGAAGGGGTGGGGAGAACATCCTATACTCAGAACCACAGGAGCTGCCCTTCCCGCCACACATGCACAACCACACACCCCCCCCCACAAACACACAAACACCCACCCTGAAGACACACATAAACCTATACAACCTACCCAGACACTTACATACACTCAGAAACTCGAATACTCAACCCTCCCCAGACACACACTCGAGCACAGAGACTCACACCAAGAATATATACATGCAGACAGCCTCCTGCTCCTATACACAGAGAAAATCATGGTCAAACACACCCACATGCACGCACACACGCACATATGCATGCGGCAGGGTGCTCTCAGCCCTGTGGCCTCAGCTGCCCCAGCTCCCAGCCCCCCGGGACCCCGGTACCCTGCTCAGCGCGTGCTCCAGCTCGGCGGGCTCCATGAGCGAGTGCGCAACACTGTATCTGGGCAGCACTATTCTGGGCCCGGCCCCTGGCACCCTGCCCTCCCGGATCGGGTTCTCTCTGATTGGGTGTCGGGCACTGGGGAGGAAGGGGTCCACCCGCGCCCGCAGCTGCTCCAGCCCTGAGGCCTGGGGGCTGCTGGGGAGGCGAGGGGAGGGGCGCACCTGGAATCCTGATGCCTGGTTCTGTCTGCCTCCTGGGTGTCCGATGATGGGAGAGAAGAAAAACCCTGCTGTGGGGGGAGGGTGGGTGCTGGGGTGGGAGGAGAGGGTCTCTCAGAGCCCCGGGGTTTCTTCTCTGAGGGCCCCTCTCTTCTTTGTCGGGTGCCAAAGGAGGAAAAACAGAGGCAGTTGAGCTGAACTCTCTTCCTTGTACAAACCTGGGTCACGGGTGGTGCTGGAATTAGAAAGGGCAGGTTGCAGCCGGCTGGCAGGTTGGGGATAAGAGGTTTGTGGTGGTCCTGGGAGAGTGGCCAGTGTGTGTCCAGATGTCACTATTCGAGTCCCAGGGGCCCATTCTTCTCTAGGTGAAGGAGCTGGGACTGGATGGCTCAGGCAGGTGGGGAGTCCTGAGAATCTCCTTGACGGTGTGTGGTGGGCTTGCACGTGTCTCCAGTGTGAGGGACACCTGTTTGTACCTGTGGAGGTAGACCCAGGTGTGCAGGGGCCACTGTCCTCCCATTCCGCTGTGTGTGCTGTTTCTATGTCTCCCGGGGCCAACAGGATCCCAGCTGGCTCTGGTGGCTGCCCACCCACCTCCCCCTTCCTTAGCATTCCTGGGGCCTGAGTCAGTGTCCAAATCGGGAATGCTGACCCAGCTGCTCCAGCTCTCCTCTCGGCCCCCCTCCCCTTCCTCTTCTCTTTCCAGCCTCTTCCATCCCTGTCTCACCAGGGAGTGAACGGATGCTCAGTAATGGGTTACTGGATTTCTTGCTGATTTAGTGAACGTATTTCCCATCACCCCTTAAAGCCCCTGTATTGCCTATGGGGATGGTGGAGGAGAACAGAGCCAGGAAGAGGCTTGCCTGTCATGCGGGTCTTGGTCAGTACTGGGGACGGGTGCAGTTCCCCTTCTGCAGGGCCCCTGCGGCTTGTTTCTGTCTGGTCCCAGATGATGGAATAGCAAAGGCACAGCCAATGGGACATTTCAAATGGGGGAAAGGTCACATGGACCATCCCTGGAGATAGGTAGTGCCTCAGTCCCTGTAAAGCCCCGTCCCCTTATCCTCTGGACACCTTCACAGCCAAGCCAGATATAGAACACGTGCAGCTCACACCACTGCCTTTTCCTGCAATACCTCATCCTCCCCTTTACCTCAGACATATTTTACCTGCAAGACCAGAAGCAGGGGCTCCTCTTCCAATAAAGCCTCCCTTGACTGCATCACCCTTATTGTGGTTGTTCAGTCGCTCAGTCACTCAGAGTGTCTGGCTCTTTGCGACTCCATGGACTGCAGCACAACAGGCTTCCCTGTCCTTCACCATCTCCAGGAGTGGTGGTTTGCTCAATCACCCTCATTGCACTGACCCTAGAGCCACCCTCTGTGTGCACATCTCAGGGTACATTGGGCTGGCACTCGCATAATTATTCACGTGTGAATGTCTTTTAATCTCTTAGTAAACATTGGGTACCTTGATGACCACAATATGTTGGTTGGATGTGAGGGAAAAATCTGTTTTGGGGCCAGATCGACCTTGTTAAAATTCTTGTTCTGCCATTTGACCTTGGAAAGCATTGCTTGTTTTCTCTGAGCATGTTTCCACGAATGTAAAATGAGGATAAAAGCATTCTGTGCCAGACACTGCCAGTTGCTTCCTAATAACTCTTTCTCTCTTTTGCTTTTGTAATAGAATCACTTGAATTTTAATTGGAATGGCTGCCTATAACAAAGACTTAAATTCCCAGCCTTTGCAGTTAAATATGGCCTTGAGACTTAATTTGACCAATGTGAGTGCTAGTGATGGGAGCAACTTCTGGATCAGGCCTTAAAAGAAAGAGCACGAGTTCCTTTCCTCCTCTGATGGCTGGAATGCTAATGTGATGGCAGGAGCTAGAGCAGCTATCTCACAGCCAAGATGGAAAATGCTTGTTCAAGGTTTCAGAGTCACCCTTCCAGGTTTAGATTGTCTGGAGACTACAACACTAGAGAAATAAACTCCTTTGTTTAAGTCATCCTTAAATTGAGTGTTTGTTATAGCAACCAAACATGTATCCTAACTAATGCAAAATCTGATATCTGGAAGTGACACTGCTTTAAAAGCCTAAAATAAGTGGCATTGGTTTGGGAATTGGACTTCAGGTAGCAAAGAAAAGTATTGCACGCTGGTAAGCTGATGACCATTGTTATGTTACAGCAAAACATATGATCTGTCATCTATGATGCCTTGAAAAGTCATCATATGCTAACAGAGCCTGTAACTATGGAAACTAGCATGTATTGGCTTCTGCTGGATGCTACAGGCAAGGTCCTGTAAGAGAAATGCATTCAGGCAGCGAGTTGTAAGTGGTGGCTTGACAGAGGCAACCTTAGCAAGGGTTCCAAACCTTTCTCAAGTGCACTCAGTTCTGTAGATAATAGAAACCAGTCCCATGGGCAAAACAGGAAAGTTCTCTGGTGGCTCAGACAGTAAAGAATCTGCCTGCAATGCAGGAGACTCGGGTTCGATCTCTAGGTTGGGAACCCCATCCCTTGGAGAAGGGAATGGCAAACTCACTCCAATATTCTTACCTGGAAAATTCCATGGACAGAGGAGCCTGGTGGGCTACAGCCCACGGGGTTACAAAGAGTCAGACATGACTGAGTGACTAACACTTTACAACCAAGCATATTTTTTTGACAACCTCAAGGTAGCCACCAGAAGTTCAAGAGAGAATGGGAAGAACACCAACTCCAGAATTATCAAGCAGGAAAATGATGAGACATTTGGCTGTGGTTACATAAATATGAAGTCAATCAGAAGCCTTGGGAGACTCTGAGGGTGCAACATTGGCAGAGAAACTATAAGCCTGGTCAGCAAAGACTAGTTTGCTCCCCCACCCACCCAATAGTCCCTAGCCCTTGAAATCTGCACCAGCAGAAAGAGGGCTGTGTAAGGTCCGCAAGGACGGCCGTATTCACCAGCAGCCTAGGGCATGTTGCATGAGAAATAACTTCCAGGAGGCAATGGCAGAAGCCACTACGAGAGTAGAAAGCTTCCCTCCCAGACAGCAGGACCAGCAGTGGCTGGATGAGCCACCCTAGAACCGACTCCTCTGTGGGGAAGCCATGCTGCAATTCCTGTCCAACTGGATTTATTTATTGCTGAAGATCAGGTGACTGCCCAGTGTTTGCCATTCTTTGTGTTCTGGAGTTTATCCTGTTCCTCCTCCACTGTTATCTCGGGGAGGGGGAGGGCCAGATTACCTGCCTTTTGGTTCACAGGGCTCTAGACACTGAGGATTCCATCCACACCCAGGCCCTCAGAAATTCTGAGTTCTGAGCTGGAGCTGGGTCTAGATGGAACTCTGCCTTGCCTCTCTTCATTGTTATTATTGTTCAGACCTCCAGTCATGTCCGATTCTTTGCAACTCCATGGACTGCAGCATGCCAGGCCTCCCTGTCCCTCACTGTCTCACGGACTTTGCCCAAGTTCATGCTCATTGCATTGGTGATGGCCTCGACTCTGGTGGCTCAGACGGTAAAGAACCTGGCTCTCTTCAGAGGGTGCTAAATGCAGGGTAGGCTGAGGGGTGGCCCAGTATGGGCTCTGGCAAAGCAATAGTTATTTTCCCCTTCTTCTTCCTCTACTGGTAATTCCCCACAATTTCAATGAAGTGCAGGATAATATTTCCCAGCTTCCTTTGCAGATAGCATGGCCATGTGACTAAGCTTGACCAATGGGATCTGCACAGCAATGTTATCTGCAACCTCTAAGGATGCCCTCAGGAGGAAGGGGCAGATTTCCCTCCTCCTACTGACTGGAATTATGATATGATGGTGGGAGCTGGATTGGTCATTTCAACTCATTGGTGGAAAGTTGAAAATAATAGAATCTCATCCAGTCACCATGTCTGAACTGTTATGTTATAAAAAGAAGTAAACATCTATCGTGTTTAAGGCACCAATCAATAGAAATTTTGCTACAGCAGCCAAGCCTCTAACTAATGTATTTACATGACAGGATCGGGGTAGGGTGAGAAATTACAAGTGTATATAATGATGCTTCATATGTATGCAGTGCTAAAGATCTGCCAGACACTGCAAAACACATTGTGGGCAGTATCCCAGGTAGTCCCTCACAATCCTATGTGGTGAATGCTTTACTGCTATGATTATACAAATCACAAGATCAAGGCACAAGGGATTAAGTAACTTGATCAAAATCCCAGAGCTAGTGAAATGAAAGTGAAAGTTGCTCAGTCATGTCTGACTCATTGAGACTCCATGAACCATGCAGTCTATGAAATTCTCCAGGCCAGAATACTGGATTGGGTAGCAGTTCCCTTCTCCAGGGGATCTTCCCAACCCAGGGATCAAACCCAGGTCTCCCACATTGCAGGTAGATTCTTTACCAGCTGAGCCACCGGGGAAGCCCAAGACATTGCCCAGGGTCAAACCCAGTGTTTCTGAACTAGTACCACACTCTCAGCCACTAAGCATAATATAAACGAATCACAGGCCTGGCATGTAATATATGCTCAGTAAGTGGTTACTATAATTACTACCTCACTACTTGCTTCCAGTCCCCCTAACCCTCTAGCTACAAGGTTCTGAAAGCAGGCAGGCTGGGGGTGGGAGTAGGTGGGGGGGTCTCTGACTCTCTAGTATTCATTTCATGGTGGCACTGGGGTTGGGATGAAAGAGGGCCAGGTTGGGGCACACACCAGCCCTGCCCAACACTAAAATCATAGTGAATTTCCAGTTGTGAAAAAGGAGCTCCCACACCTGCTCTTGCGGCCAGCCCAGCCCCACCCATCTTCTTCGGCTGGGCGAATCAGC